GTACCGATAAGCTGAAACGATAGTACGGAGTGCAACATTTTGGCATCGTTGAATAACATCAATATTAGACTTACTAATACAATCCCACAGTTGTATATCGTAAGTCCAAATTGGTTTTATGATAGCTACGTAAAGTAGACGTTTGTTATTTAATGAAAGTTCGGAATGTTTCCCGATCAACCAGTATAACTTTTTCATTTTTAGTTTTATTTGCAAACTTTTCTGGCGTACATGGTGTTTCCAATTAAGACGTGAGTCTAAGTGCATTCCTAGGTATTTAGCCGAATCTTTTTGTGGGATAATTTGATGATTCATTTTGATAGGAATATTATTGGTATTACGAAGTGTATAATTGACATGTACTGATTTGTCACTATTGATTTTAATTTTCCAACGTCTTGTCCATAAGAAGATATTATTGATCGAGTTTTGTAATTTACCAGTTGCAGACTGTTGACTATAACTGGTTGCTAATACAGCCGTATCATCAGCGAACATGGCAGTTGTCGTATCATTGGTTGATGGAATGTCAGCAGTATAAAGTAAATACAAAATAGGTCCTAAAACACTACCTTGTGGTACTCCTGCTGTTATAGTTTTCCAATCTGTAACAGCTTGCTCATGCATTACCCGAAACTCTCGTTCAGTCAAGTAAGATTCTAATAACGCGCACCAAGTGTGTGGTAGTTGTTCTCTTAATTTTATAAATAGTCCTTCATGCCAAACTTTATCAAACGCCTGCGCAACGTCTAAGAAAACTGCACAACAGTACTTTTTCTCTTCAAGAGCCTGGTTAATAACATTGGTAACTCGGTGAACTTGATCAATTGTAGAGTGCTTATTGCGGAAACCAAATTGGTGGTCAGGTAAAAGTTGCTTTTCTTCAATCAATGGTTTTATCCTTTTAAGAAGAACTTTTTCAAAAAGCTTAGATAAACAAGGTAAGAGTGATATTGGCCGGTAAGATGATACCTGATCTGGTGGTTTACCTGGTTTTAGTAACATTATGACCTGAGCTTTTTTCCATAGTTTTGGAACGTATTCAGTTCGTAAAATTGCATTGAAGATGTATGTAAGATAAATAATCGCCTTCTTAGGCAATTCTTTTATCATTCTCGGGCTGATTTCATCGTAACCTGGTGCTTTTTTTACATTGATGTTGTTATCAATTTCTTGCGCCACTTCTAATGGTGAAAAATATTTTATTTTCTCCCGATTTCTATCTAATTGTAAACTATAGAGTCCGTCAAGTTCTGAGACTATATTATTAGGTTTAAATACAGTCTCTAAGTAACATGCATATACTTCAGCTTTTTCATATTCACTTCGTGCCCACGTGCCGTCTTCTTTGCGAATAGGTGGCACGTGTGTTAAAGGCCTTTTTAGTCGTTTAGTAGCTTTCCACAGAGAGTAGTCAGTATCTTGGGTTGCAGAAAGTTCGCTCAAGTAAGTTTTAAAAGTTTCGTTTTTCATTTCTTTTATTTTGTTGTGGAGTAACCGACTGATGTGGTTCCACTTTTTTTTGTCAGTAGGATGTCTCGTTCTATGCCACGTTCTCCTAGCTTTTCTCTTTTGTTGTACCAACTCTCTGATTTCTATTGGGTAGGTGATCTCTCGTATTCTTTCTACTGCAGCCTTAGGTGTTGCAGTTTTCACTGAGTTAATTATATTATTGGTAAAATTATGAACTGCCAAGTCAATGTCACTGGATGTTTGAAGTTTAACGGAAAGCGAAAGTGAATTTTCAAGTAACGTTCTGAATAAATCCCAGTTAGTTTTCTTAGTCGTTAAAAATACTTTTTTTTGTTTCATAATAACGTTTGTGCTTTGAGTGAGTAGTACGGGTGTATGATCGGATGTTAACTCATTGAGTCCTTCAACTTTTACATAATTAGAGGAAATACCTTTCATCACGTAAAAGTCTAGTAGATCAGGAATTTTGTTAACGTCAGAAGGCCAATAAGTTGGCTCTCTTGTAGAGACAGTTATCGCGTTTAAGCTATTTATTACTTTAAACAAAGAATTACCTTTAGGGGAGTTTAATCTCGAGCCCCAATGTTTATGTTTAGCGTTCCAGTCTCCTCCGACAATAAACCTATCGCCTAGAGTCTGAAAAAATTCGAAAAGATTAACTTCATTAGCACCTCCTTGTGGTGGACAGTATATGGCTGTGACAGTGAGGTCATTGGCCCCGTCGTTTATTCGTACACTTGTTGCTTGTAAATGATTTTCCGAGAACTTATCTAGCTCATAGTGCTTAATAGACTCTTTAATAATTATAGCTGTACCTCCACGTGCTCTGTTGGTTGGATGAATGGTGGTATATGTAATATAATTTTTTATTTTAAAAAAAGTCCAGGATGTAAAGTGAATTTCAGAGATAAGAGCAATATCTATATTTTCATGATGTAGAAGGTTTTCTAATTCAAGTTTTCGCTGTACTAGCCCATTAGCGTTCCATGCAATAAACCGTATGGTACGGGTCATTTTTTATTATTTTTACGCTTGTTTTTAGGTTTAGGTTGGTTGTTTTCTAACCTGTCTAATCTTTCAGTTAGCATTGCTAATGTTTGAGTAATACTAGCTAAGGAATTTATAACTTCCACAAAGGGTACTTCCTCATTTTTCACATGATTTTTTTGTTCGAAAGTTTGGGGTATCTTTAAGTTTTGGACTGATGAACCAGCCATTTCAGCGTATGATATGCTGGTTGTAACAGATTTCGCTGGTTTACTTTGTAGTCTTTGAACTGCTGTAGTTTTTTTTGGGTGAGAAATTTCAACTGCTTTTTTATACGCAGCGCAGCCTTTCCAATTTGCGGTATGATTTTCTCCACAATTGGCACATTTTGATTTGGTCTTTTTGGATTTTGTGCAATCAATTGACCTGTGTTTTTCTCCGCATTTTACACAATTAGGAGATTTGTGACAATAATTTAAAGTGTGTCCAAATAATTGGCAGTTCTTGCACTGTGGAACTCCTTTTGTTTTCTTTGGTGGCTCCACTTTAATAATTTGGTGACTAAGCTTTTTTAACTGGTATATGTCTTTATTATTATCTTGAGGCTCTAGATCAACAAAAAATAATGGTAGACGAATAAATGTCCAGTCACTATTTTTATTTTTAGAGTCAACTTTTTTTTTAATTTGTATATTTGATACATGATTGGCCAAGTGTCCTTGGTCTGAAAGATCGCGCTTTATATCACATATGTCAGTTTCAGGGTGTAATCCCCGGATTACTACCCTAAACATTTTTTCAGATTTAAGTTGGTACCTATGGTATTCAATTTTTTGCTCTTCTAAAATTTTAACAGTACGGCGAAATTGATGTTCGTCTCCCGTTAAAATCTTTATATCACCGTTGGCTAAGGTTTTAAGTTGTTGCTCATGACCAGAAGCCTCTTCGATTGCTAGATTATCAATGAATTTTTTAATATCATTGACCCCACATGCTGTAATAGGTGGAGGTTTGTAGATTTTAGTAGAAGTTCTCGCCACTTCTTTTGTTACTTTAAGGATTTTTTTTGGTGAACTTGTGTTAATTTCCACATTCCCTTTAATCTGACTTAATTGACATTTTAATTTTTCGTTACTTTCTTGAAGTTCTGCTATTATTTTTTTAAAATTTTCAATGTCAGTATTTATTTGTGTCCAAATATCATAGCTGACAGTTATATTTTTTTCTTGCGCTGTGGAGACATTTCCGTATGTATCCATTTGTATAATATAGTTGTAATATACACAATGTAATTTGATGCCACTATTGTGACCCACTTAATTAAAAAAAAATCTATTAAAAACACTTACCAACGTCCATAAGTCCGCGGTTCGCATTATACGCACATATAAAATTTAATAACAATAACACACAGGTTTCACGAGAGCGAGACCGAAACATACGTGCTGATTGTTTGATTAACAATTAGCAACTTTCTGACTGCATATTAATCTTAACGATACAATTTTTTTAATTGTCATAAAATTTTCTATTTAATGATGTCAATTTCAAACTTGTTAATTGAGCTAAAAGTTACGGTAGTAAATTAATATTTTTTTGTTATAAACTTTCACAAAAATCAACATTAAATCGTTAAAAAATAGGTTAAATATGTAATTTTTCTTATTTTTAATATATTAATAATCAAAATCAGTATTATTTTAAAACAATTTTTTTTTGTTCTTGATTATTTTTTTTTATATGTAAATACTTATTTTTTAATAATATTATTAATATTAAAACTTAGAAGTGATAGAAAAAGTCTAATTGCACATTTGAAAACATCGACAAAAGTTGATTTAGAAAAGTATATTTTTATTTCTGGTGAAAGTTTTTTGTAATCAAGTGTATAAGATTTATTACTTTGTCTCAAGTAATAAAAAATTGTTATTGAAAAGTATTGCATCAAGCCCTTTAAATTTTTATACACGTTAAAAGTAAAGGAATATACAATTACTTTATTATTTTTATAATTTCTCCGTATAAATTGCAATATTAAATTATTGAATATCAATTTCATACAAAATATAATTACTGTAATTATTATTTATTCATATATTTTAATAATAAATCATATAACTAATCGGGATAAAATTAAGGGAATAAGAGTTATTGTTGCTTTTGAAATAATCTGCCAATTTCTCAAAATTAAACACTATCTACAGATTTGCATCGAAGCATTTCTTATGATAGTGATTTGAATCACTGTCAGATATCAACTATACTTGTCCCAACTACGCCAACACGTCCATACTATGCCGCGACCTCACTGTGTTACCGTTCTTTTAAAAACAATTATATAAATTTTTAGAATATATTAAAAGTATATTAACTTTATATGAAATTTATTTTCAAATTTTTAGATTTTGGTCAATTTAAAAAAATAATTTTTATTACTCTGTGAAAAATATCAAACAGTTATGCATGTATAACTTAAGTTTGTTCTACAACCGTTTTACGTACATAAACAGTGTGTTTAAGAAAACAAAAAATTATACCAATCATTTTATTGATTATTTATTAAATTTTATTCTATAATAATTTGTTACAATTATAATATAGTTAACAGTAGTTTTCTCTAACATGTACCAAATTAGGCTTAGATTTTTTGTTAATTGTAATAATATTTAACATTGCTAGAAGTGATCTTACTTAAAATAATAAACAATAATGAATAAATAAAAATAAAACAGCAGACTAGTTTTTGCCTTCATTCACATATTATGAGCAGACATTCAGTCCTAACGAGGTAGGTAAATAAATGATAAATTAAAAAATAAATAAAAAAAAACTAGCCTTAACATAATTAATTACAATGGTTTAATAATACTAATAGTGAGATAAAATGTGTTAAAATTAAATTAAATAAAGTTGAAATATGATTTATGAAATTGGTTTTTATCTTTTAAATTGCCTTAAAGATATAAAAATAAAAATATATATGAACAAAATTAAACCAAAATATAGGATTTTCAAGATAATAATTTTTAAAATAGTATGGTTATTAATCTGCTATTTAATATTTGTCATATTATATACAATGGTATTACTACATATGTGCATTATGTAGTGTAATTTTTATACAGTATACATATTATGTAGTAATAACATACATAATATGAAAAATGTGATTTACCAATACATTTAAAAGTTTTAGGATTTAAGGGAAAGAGAAGGAAGTTTTCTTATATTTAGTAAATATATCTTAATTATAATATTCAACGTCGTCTGCGTCCAAATCTGAGAAATACATGATCCAAATCTTGGCGTTTATCATTTTGAACTGCATTATCAGTTAATCCATCGGACATTTTTGTGTCTAAAAATGAATTATTAAATTTATTTTTAAAGAGCCTTTTTGTTAATTAATTAAATTATAAACACAAGTTTTACTATCCATAACTTGATAATGATAGGCACCATCACGGATAAATGTATAAACTATTATAAAAATTAATGCTATTAATATTGCGAGGCCCATTTAATATTTTGTTAGTAAGAGAGACCGGTTTTTGTTTTTTATTTATGAATATAAGGCCATATAAAGCGTCATAGTCAAGTACATTGGCGGCTTTGCCTTTACACTGGCCCTAATTAAAATTCCAGTAATGATTAACGTTTGGTTTAAGCACAGACAATATGAAAATAGTCTGTTATAAAATAACAAATTTTTTTTTATATTACAGTACTCATCTAGTGTTTTAATATGATATAGGTTAAAATAGGACAGACCATCCAGAATATTTTCAAAAATTGAGTTTACAAAAAAAAAATTACATGCGTGGGTGGTCCTTTCAAATCTATTCTGTACTTAGTTTTTTCATTAAATTTTCTCAAAAAGGTTACCAAAATAAAACTTACTGTCTTTTATATATTTTAGTAAAATATCATTAGGATCATTGTTTTTATAATAAAATTATAATAGTTATGAAATGCAGAAAAAAAATCGGAAAATGCCATTTTTTACGGTAGCGTAATTGTGAGATATATTTCTACATTTTTAAAATTGAGGGAGTATTTTCCAATATTCAATGATAATAAGTTCAATTAGATTAAAATCTCGTTATTTTGACATATTTATCATGGTAAAAACAATATCGTCTTAGATTCGCATCAAAGCTATAAAGTTGTGTATCTTAAAGGTTTGTCAAATTTTATTTTTTTACGTTAAGACTGGACTACAGTATAAAAATTATGATTTTTATGTTATTGAATTTTTGTATGCAAAATTATATTTTATGTAGATCTGTATCAACAGAATTTTGTTATAATCACCCATTCCATATTTTATCAGAGTTTAAGACCTAATTTAAATTTGCACCAAACGAACATAATTTACATAAAAATAAATTAACAACATATATTAACTCTGTAGTTTTTTTAATATAGACCAATGATATTAGCCAATTTTTATTTTAATTTCTGTAGCGTCTCTAGAAGTTATATATTCTGTTTTTATGTTTTCCTGAAAAATTGATTTTGGCATAGATTTGTCAGAGCAAGTTATTGTAATCAAGTATTAAGAGAAAATATAAACTATGTCGACAAATATTAAATTTTTTTGTATAATTGAACTTGATTGTAGTTTTTATATTCGATTCAAAGTTTAAACATGTATCATAAATAAACATTTAAAATTGTTTTTCAAAGTATTTATATTTATTTACTTACAAGGTATTGAAACAGGGTATTGTTTGTCTTGTATGAATGTTTCAATGGCATTTGAAAGTGTACGAATAGTAGATAAAGTAAAACAAGCTTCTCGTACTTTAGGTGGTGCATCTTCTAGCAGCCCCGGTAGACACTGTGATGGCAAATTGTTTATTCGACTGTGACACGAGCCGATAAACACCATTAATAGAACACTCATTAAAATCCTTACACTAACTGAAGACATTTTTCTAAAATAAAAAAAATATAATTATTCAAATTGAAATGGTTTTGATACGATCACATTTGCATGTGCCCATATCTCTGTCTCCCATAACATCGTTGTACCGTTTAATAGACATATATATATATATATAATTAACACAGTGACATACAGCAATACTAACAGGAGTGCGGACTGCACACATAAACACTTTTTGCAATTCACGGCCAATGTGCCATATTAAGATATCCCTATCGACAGTTGACCTTTTACCATCTTCGCGATCACTACTTGTCTAATAATTAACTTAACTTGCTACCCCGTATATTATAGTGTGTGTGTGTGTCGCCGTCAGCTCCCTGTTGGATTATATCATCTCTAGGTGTCCAGCAGGTTGTATTATCCATTTAATATTTTAATTGTTTAATAAATATTTATTTATATCGTTGTTAACCTAAAGTGTTATATATATATATTGTAGTGCGACCCTTGGTAGTTCCTCTAAGGGAATATAAATTAAATAGGAAACTTCAGTACCTAAGGTAGATATAGCCTAGCCAGCTATCCCCCGTTGGTCCCTTAGAATACTGTCGACGGGCATTTAGGCTAAACCCCTAAATAGCGACGTAACAGTTTGTAATTTAAATTTTAATCTAATATAATAATTTATTACTAATCATTGGCGTAATTACAAGGTAGGTTATGGTTTTCAGATCTTCCCATAAAAAAAAAAAAAAAAATACTTGCATATTAAAGTTACAATTTTTTTTTTTTTTTGGAGGTGATAATGAACATTCTTCTTATATATATATAACCCTTCCCAGAACGAGACCTTAATAATGCTATTATACTAATTTAGAAATATGAATATATTTATTAATTTAATTTTTCAGCATAAAATGTCGTCATGTCTGTATGTGAACATTAATAACAAAAAATATATTTTATCCAATAAAAAATGTTTAATTTAGAATTTTTTATCGCTTTAATATAGATTATTTAATATTAATTCGTATACATAATGATCTTATTAAAAGTGTCACAAGATGTATTTCATGACTAAACATGTATACATGTTTTGAAAGAACGTTATTTTGAGATATAACATATTTGATAAATGTTAAATCATATTTTAATCCTTTACAATCAAATACTTGCATTTATATACTTAAATCGTTTACAACTTAAATTATATTCATTTTAAGAATGAATAAATTCTATTACAATTATAATGAAGAAATAATTTATAAATAAAATCACAATGACTTAAGAAGATAATTACTCATACAGCTAAGAAATTTATAATTTAATTTGTATACATAAGTTTTACAATAAAATTAAATTTTGGTTGCATATTTCGTAAATCGACTATTTGTAGTTACCTATTATGTAGTTATGTCCCAAGATTACTCTTTCTAATAAATACAATTTTAAGTAAATTATTAGATCTATATTTTTCGTGCAATACAGACCAAAAAATTAGTTGGAATTTTGATAAGCTTCGATTTTGTTGTGCTAAGATGTTCCTTACACAATTATTAAATGCCTCATTAAAAGAAAGTTTAGTATAATTTGTAAAAAAAATTTAACAGATATAACTTGTTCATATCTCATTGAAAAAATCGAGCTGCATACCACTACTATGTTCTGATTTTTAGTTTTATAGCTATGAAATGTGCAAATCATATAATAGTAATACAATTTTTTGTAGTATCTGTAAAATCCAATATAGATATTTGTTTTTCTTCTCAATGGAGATTTAAAGTCTGAGTAGGTTTAACTTGAAAAGATGTGACATAAGTTTAAGTGGCATAATAAATACCAAGTCGTTTACATTGTTTAGAAGTCACAATAAAATTGAATATATACTAATTTAAGCTACTTTGCAGTGACAATTTCTTGAATGAATTAAAAAGAGATAATGCTGAGCTTTTGTTTTTACTTTTATAATATAATATTAATATGTTTAAAAATAATGATTTAAATTATGTGTCACTATAATCGATAAAGAATAACTGGGTAATTTACTAACAATATCTTCAAAAATATATAACAAATGAAAATTATTAATTATTAGAAGTTATTAGAATTTACACATGAATGAATAAAATATTAGTTCTATTCTTTCTTATTTCTCTTAAAATTGTACCTACTTAGGTTTTTTTAACAAAAACATATAATGTATGTTTAATTGGAATATATGTATTTGAAGTGATACAATAATACATTATAAAATATTTGGTTGAATAATTTTTAATTTAAAAAATACTCGAAAATATAGCCATCTTCAAATAACTTTAACATTATAAGTAACATTGGTTTTCTTTTTTAATAATTTAAGTTGTTGTTCAATAATTATGGTGGATAAACTATTAATTTTTGTACTCAAGTAAAATTTATTTTTTCAAGAAATTTAAATAATGAAATGAATATATTATTTGTATTCTATATTATGTATTGAACAGCATTAACAGAATTTTGCAATGAGTAAGTGTTTTTTAGTCAATTTATTTGTAAAAATGTTTCATTGTAGTTTTTATATCAGATATTTGGAATTTATATTTCCTTTCTAAAAAATATCTTTTATATGGATAGCAAAAATTTCTATTAGCTAACTTAACTCAAGCTAAAATTTTTTTTTTTTTATGTTACTGGTAACTTAACTGAATTGACTATTAAAACTTAGCAACTAATAAATTAATAAGTTTCTTTTCAATCTAAGTTAACTTCTTAGGTTAGAAAAATAACTTTTCTTGTCTTGTTATATTTTGTTATTATTTGAATACATAATCAAGCAAAAATTGGTAGTTAAGTATTTACTTATTAGTTAAACAAAATTATTTTAAGTTTGACTAAATTAGAATTTAAAAATTTCTTAAATAAGTTCATAAATATTATTTTAAAACTAAGAAATGATTTCATAGCTATAATTAATGTTGCGTTATTTTTTACAAAAAATGCTTAAAATTTCTATGGTGTTGAAAATTTCTCTCTAATTTACTTATCCACTGAACCATTCTGTCAGACGTTAAACTAATAAAATTGAATTTGGAATTTTCGATATTATAATAAGAAAGAAAGTAACCGCGTTATGAATACATAACGAAAAAACTTACAAGGTATTATCCACATTGATAAAACTTGCTTCACTCTTGGGTAAAAAAAAAGAATTAACGATGGCCGCCATTAATACATTTCCTTTTAATTTTTAAATGAAAATCTTGCAGCAAAACTTGGCAACCCACTTAAATCTTTTCATACCAATTTTGAGTACAAAGAAAGCGATTTGTTATAATATTAATAGTTTCGAAAAAAAACATGGTTTTACCATAAAAACTTTATTGATATATAATGCATACTGCAGATTTTATTTATGTTTGTTGCTTAAAATTAAAATAGTTTTATAAGACGTAAGGTTATATTTCTGTGTTTATCAATTTTCCAAAACTGAAAGACATTGATGTTCGTATAACATATTATTTTACTGTATAACAAAATTATAAAAAAAGAAAAATACGGGAACCTTTCTATATCAATTCTAGCTCATAAATTCAGCAATGTTGTAGTTGCCAATTTCTGAACACTAATAATTGTCGATATGCACTAAGATATATAGTTGAAGTATTTTACTTACAACTCTCCTATTTTTATAATATTTAGAAAATTAAATAAACTATTATAGTATTATAGGAAATAACTGAAAATTTAATTTCGTAATCAATTTTTCGAAGGATAATTTAATTAATTTATCGTACATTGTTTGAAATATTATTATGTACACTCATGCTCTTAAATTATCTATATGAAACGCCGTTCAAAGCTGTCGACGTTTTTATAAGATAGACATTTTCTTTGCTTTTGAAATTACTGTAAATGTTTTTTATTTTGCGAAATATTTTAAAGTTAAAAATGATTGTCTGTTAGTCAGTATAAATCACGTTTTACCTTTAAAAAAAGTACTGTATTTCGAGTTTGATTGGCAACAAATTTAAGGAATAAGGTGCGCTTAGTTTTAACGTTGGGTATCTAAAGAAAAAACAAATAAATTATCGAAGACGAAGGAAGTCGAATCACGTCCCAAGTAAAGCGCTTGGCTACTCTAATAAAAGTTCGTAACATCTTGTTTTCAGTTTTAAACTTCTGAAATGTCTGTTCATTTTTACGTATATTAATTGTGCGACATTTTCTTTTACAATAAAAAAACATGAAGGGTTGATGCATCAAGTTACCATCTATGAACATTTTATAAATAATTAATTTAAAATAATATCTCAGTAATGAGTTACAAGTAATGAAATTTAATATTCATAAATTTTATTTTCATATTTTCTAATTATTAAAGGTAGTTAATTTATAGTTTTTTATTAATTATGAATTTGTATATTATATGTCTAACTCGAGTTCTAAAACATCATATTATAATGGACTGTATCAATTTTGTAACTAATAAATAAATACCATTTAAACATTCAGTATTTTAAGTATTTTTACTTTATGTTCTTGTTAATGAACTCCGCGATTTCAATAGGCCACCTCAGTTTTGTAATAGTATTTGATTACTTTTGCGGTCGATTTTATTACTTGGAAATTCTTATTAGGTTGTGTTTTATATGTATATATACAGGGTGGTCCACAGTATTTTGACAAATATAATAACTTTTGATAAATTTATTATTTTTCGTTACTTTTTTTTTAAATTATTGTTATAATTTAGGACTATTAAAATATCATAAGAAATAATATATTTTTTAAATTTGCGAAAAATTAAAAAAAAAAATAAGATAGCCATCTTTAGAATTAATATTAAATAAAAAAATTGGTAAAAAATAATTTTATTAATGTTTTGTAGTTAAGTTTCTACAGCATTTTAAAGTTTGATAAATATGAATGTTTCAGGTATATTTTACGGTATTAAAAGTTGGTCTATCTAAACAAATATGATTGAAATAAAGAATATTTTCACATTAAGTATAGTTTAGAGTTATCAACATTTTTCCATTAAAATTTTATACATATTTCAATGTTTGA